TACAGCTTCCTGGGAGGAGGAGTAGATCCTGTTTTGCCAATGTAGGCACCAAATAGCTATTTTGGACTAGATTCATTACTGGTGTATTGTCAACAAAGTTGATTCACATCTCAGCTCAGAAACATGGAAAACTCTTTAAAAAGTATTAACTTGAATTCTGAAATGCGTGAAAAAGAGCATAAAGTATACCTTTGACTTAGTGAACTTTTATCTCATTTAAGGAATAGTGGTTTGAAAACTCCTGCCCAGGAACATTCGCACAGAATTTCCATGTGCATCATTAGCAACTGGGGAACATAGTTCAGAGGCCAAGTTTAGTCCCTCATTGATCTTAATTCTGCTTTAAATATTAAAAAAAATAAATGTACAGTGAAGGCGTTCAGAAGGAAGCTCTGCCATCTTAGTCACACTGCACAGATCATATATCTGGATTAAGTTTTTGAGTGCTTCGTAATATCCTTCGGTCCTTTGGACCTTGTGTATACTATCACTGCACAATAGGATGGCAAATGTGTTTGGAGAGCTATCAGCAGCCGCCCAGAAACCTCCTGTGGGAACACTGGTGGGTGATGCCTCAGAAGGCAGGTAGGGTGAACTTGTGTTTGCATATGCTGGCAGGTTAAAGAGGGGGAAAAAAAGAGGCAGGCTGGTTTGAGTCAGTATGAGACAGTGCATCTCTGTCCATTATTTATTCGTTCAAATTCAACCACATGAAATACAGGTAGCTTACAAACCATATCTTGTAAATGCCTTTTACTCCAGCAACTGAAATTCAGCACATTTGTAGGTGTGCAGCTAGGCATGCTTAGCATGAATGGTAAACTAATGTAAATCCTGTATTAAATATTTTGTTTTATAGCAAATCTCACATATATATGAAAGAAGTGTGTGCAGGTCTCTAGTACCATAAGGTCCTATGGCATACAGTTAGAAACGACACAGATTATATGGATATAGAGAATAACACACAAAGAACACCCATTTTTAAATGCATCTGTCGTTCATACAAAATCAAATTCGTAACCATTGAAAGGCCATTGAAAGCCTTTGAAGGATGTTACAAAGCTTTAGAGATGGTCCATGCTGAACGTGGGATATTTTTTCCAATCCTTATAAATAACTATGTTCCTATGTTTGGTAAGATTAGCTACAGAGAGTTTATGTTAAGGCTCTGTGGAGAGGAGTACAGAATTACAGATAATATTAAGCTGAAAAGGTGGTTTTAAAATGTTTCTATGATATAAAAGCCTTGTATTAAAGAGGCAAATACACCACTCCCTCAGTCTCTTTTCTTATTTATGAAGTAAGTAATCGTAAACTATAAATTCTAATTTTCAGCATGTATGTTGGTAAATCCGAACTGACCTTGACCTTAGCTTTGCTAATTTCCAGACTCTGATATTTATTCCCTGAGTAGATTGTTTCCCTTCATACCACATACATAAATACTGCAAACCTTTCCAATAACCTGAATTAGAGTGTAAGTAAATAGCTGGTTTTAATCTACATAATATTTTGAGGGCAGACGTTCTGTGCTATGACTATTAAGATATACCCAGCAGCCATTTGTATAATACTAAAGCCTCTTACATATATTATTAAAAGTAATGATATCAGCCAGGGCTTGTTTTATGCCACAGAAACTTAAATAATAAAATGCAGTGTGGATAAAATCTGCAATAATAGTAACTTAAGCAAAATTAATTTAAGTAACTGATAACATCTGGGGGAAAATGTAATAGTATATCGCTAAGTTATGCAAAGCTAATTTTATAATAACTACCACATCTGTGAAACTCATTTATTAGAACGCTTTACCAATCTTCTTCCCTGACATTATTCTGTTTTAGAAATTTTCCTGTATTCTATTTTATTGTCTTTGCTCTCCCTACATTTGTAAGAAGGTAATTTGCTAGCTCTCAGCAACAAGAAAAGTCTGTGGGTTTATGTACAGAACAACATGACACTTTTTATACTTACATCTCTTTATGTACACTTTTACTAGAAATAATTCCTGAGAAAAATTGTAGCACGGGGCTGTACATTGGGAGCAATGTTTGAACACCAGCTACAGTCCTCAGCTGTGACTATGCTGAGGCTTGATGCAGCTGGGGTGGGAAAGTGAAGGTGCCACTGAATATTTCCCACATTAGCTTCTGCTGAATGTTAGAGCAGCCTCTAGCCTGCTCTAACTTGTCCAGATTCAAGTGGCCTTTTGGCACGCCACTGCACCTAGGAATTAGTGAGAATATTGCATTTAACTTCTGCACTCTCCAGTCTCTTATCTGCAGCTGACACTGATACGCCATCTACATGTGTGCAACTGCCTTACGATTTCTTTATGTTTGAATTCTCATGGGCCCATTGGACCGCAATGTGCAGGAAAATATTGCCAATTATTTTTAAGGCATTATCATCTTGCCAAACTGTTTCTCACATTTCAATATTTATATTGATTCAAGAGGACACTTTAAGTAATACCTCTTTGTCATAGTGAATAATGCTCACATAATGACAAATCTTCAGGAATTAAAAAAAGGAAGATGAATTTTTTAATGTAGGTCAGTGGAAGTAATTCACCATAAATTTACTCAGACTTCAGAAACTAGCAGCATTTTTTAAAGCCACTGTGACTGTATAAAACTTACTGTGTCTCCTTCTCTGTTTTTAAATAGATTTTACTATAGAGCCATTGGTGCTATTAAACATGAAGTTTTGTTCAAAGGGAATACAAAGACTTAATTGTATTTTTTAAAGGAAAGTATTGCATCAGAAAGATTCATTTAAACACGTTTGTTGGCTTCGGGCTCTCGCCACAATACATTCGTTCTAATTTTCCCGTGGACTTGTTAAGGACACAATGTATAGGAAGGAGCAATGCAGAATGGCATTTTTAGGTCACTATACTTTGGCTGTAAACTGTAGTACTGCTCGTAAACTTATTATTACTAAACAAAATACTTCGTATTCTACATTGAAGTTTCGCAGTCTTTTTAAAAAAACTTTTGGCTGAACGTTGAGCCTATTATGGCTCGTTAAAGAGACTAGTTCTGCTATAATTTAGTTATTTCTTAATGATCCAAGGGTTATTATTAGACATGGAACAGATGAGTAAAGAATGACTCTCTTTAAAAGGACGCAGCGAAGTAAAAATATTATTCTGAAACAGAACCTCTGAAAATCTTATCCATGCTACAAAAATATATTTGATCAGCCAGGAATTTATTTTAAAAACCTGGCCTAGTTTTTTACATTATTTCATTTTGTGAAATTTGGACTGGAGGGAATAAAGGGAATAATGATTTAACCTAAATAAAGAAAATATTTTCAGTGAATAGTTAACTAACTAACCAAAACATGTTATTTTAAGGAAGCAGAAAGTAATTGTGAAATCGCATCCAATTCAGATAATATTTTTAAATAAGAAAATATACAGTAAGAAATCAGAGAAAATGGAAATATTTGCTAAATTAAGAGAGCTCTAGCTTAAAAAAAAAAATAGAATTTGAAAACAAAGCTTTTTATTTTAGAAAGAATAACATTTAGCTCAACTTAAGGCTTTCTCATTTTGATGCAAAAACTAAACTTTCCGACTATTGCTTTTGTGAGTCTGTAGGCAGTAGCACAGTACTGTAAAATCTGAGTCACAAGTGATACAGGAAAAGGCTTCTCTAAAACCTGGTTTTCTCCTCACTTAAATTCTGGAAATCTCTCTGTCAGCCTTTTGTGTTCTTACAAACATGGGCTAAATACTGTCTGCCTTTTTTAGTGAGGTCACACATGACAGGGAATCTTGCAGATAACGAAGGAGACCAAACATAACTTCTGACAAGCTTTTAGGACTACAGAAGAACTTTTAATGCAATAATGTGCAGTGGCTAGGTCTCACTCTTTATTTCCAGGTTTTGCTATCACTTTTGCAAATGTACAGAACCTTTCATACTTTCAGAATGTTTAACTGTAGCAAGTCACTAAATAACCAAATACCAACCTTGCAATGATTTCAAAGGTATGAGGAAATTAATTTATGGGAGCTGCAATTACCCTGATGTGAATTAATGTAGTTGACTTATACCATCCAAACAAAATCATGTTTGTAATAGCTGACTCGGAACTGGAACATCTGCCTGGTATTCTCAGTGGGCACTTCCCTTTGTAGAGGCCCCAAACATACCATTTTAATATTATACCTGTTCCTTGCTTGTTCAAAAATGCCTTTCGTCACCCTATTTGGCATGTATGTTCTGTCATCTGTTTTTTAAAAAAACAGCACAAAACCTTGTGCCTTGAGAGGACTCAGAGCTGCCTTCTGCATCACTCACAAGAGCCCAAGCATGGACCAAGTGCTGCATCCATCTGCTCTGCGGGGTACGAAGCCATTTCCTTGTCAGAGCGTTCCTGAAGCCACAGTTCACATGCCAGAAGAATACCAGTGAGGTTACCATGTTCACAGGAAAGAGAAATAGGAGCAAGTTGATGAAGCAGCAAAACTTGGATGGTTAGCTACTCTTAAATTACAGTCACATATTAAAATATTTTTCTTAGGGCCTTCTGTGATGCAGTGTCACTACAACTTCACTCCAGCTGCCTCCTGTGACAGAACACCCTAGTGGTCAGATGGGCCCCTTAATTCTAACATGCCACAAGATCCCTGATCAGAAGTAACAAATTTGCATTGGGAAGGCTGCACGTTACCTAAGCACTGTGTTTTCTAAACTTAATTGCTCACATGAGTAAGAAGCTGTAGTGTTATGAAATTATGAAAATCATCTGTTCTTTCAGAGTATTATAAAGAGGGCCCCTTGAGATGCAGCTAGAAATTAAAGCTGATCTCTAATCGTTTTCGGAATGCTTTCCAGCATGCTTTCTGAGCACCTGGAAAAAAGGTATTGGTTTTTTGTTGTTTGCCAGACATTTCATTTCCATTTTAAAAAATCTGCAATAAACCTCTGAGTAGTAATTAAACTTGAATTACTTTTTTTTTCTTTTTATACTGCGAGTATGTGATTGAACTTGCCCAACCTGCAGTTTCCCTCTTCCCTGCTCTGCTGGAAGAACACGTGCCTTCGGATACCTATTCGTCATTCATAATATCACCAACAGCTGCAGAGACAGAATCTAAGGTAGACAGTTTTGTTCCTTTTTTGTTTTTTAAAGCTATTTTTCTATGCGTCTCCTACTTCATTTATTCCCGTTGCAGCCCAACCACTAATGACATCTATTCTCCAGAATATAGCATGCATTCTCTTCTAAGATTGAATGAAATTACTTTTAATCATTAATCAGTCAGCAGAGGACATTTATTCAAGTCAGCACCTCTGGGCTCTAGCCCCATGCAAATTCATAACCTCAGGACCTGCCTGGCCTGGGCAGTGAAAGAGACACTGGTGGTCTCTGTTGGAGCAGGAGTTCTCAAAAGCAGGCTTCATCTATTGTTCCATGTCTTTGGGTTTGACACTGTTTCGTCTTGTAGAGAGCAGGAGTATGTTCTAGCACACATTTCTTGTGGGTGGTTGCTGCTAGGGGTCTGATCAAGAGGGTCACCTGAAAGAGCCCTGTCCAGAGGCAGATGCTGTGGAAGTCTGCAGTGGGTGAATTCCCAAATGAAATTATTGGCAACCTTGAGGTACTATTACTAGAAAGCTATTCACTAGTTCTGTCTATGGTTGATTAGCTAGCTCAGTCTTAATGAATATAAACTGTATTCATGCTAAAGCTGGCAAAAACAACATCCATATGCTGTAAAAATGTGAATTAGTATCTATAAATAACTCCTAGTTTAGTCAGCTTACATGTGATGGGATAAAAAATATTCAGTAATATAACAACATATATCTTCAGCATTACTATGTGTTAGGAAACACGGGCCAAATCCTGCTCTCGGTGATGTCAGTGATACAATTCCTTTTCAGGCCTTCAGGATCAGCTGCTGCTGTGATGGAGCCTATGCAATATGTGCTTAGTATTAATTGTTAGATGCATCTATGTTACACATCCTTCAATCTGTATAAGAAATAACACATTTATGCCAATTCTAGACTTCATTTGGTAGGTGCATAACTATACAAGAGCTGCCTTAATAGAAAAAATCAGGTTTCAGTATGTGGTCTGCAAACTCAGAGGAGTCCATGAGTTCTTTCTATGGGGTTCATGAAAGGGCAGGAAGCTATTGTCAGTGGGCTTAAATTTGTTGTAGGGTGATCTGCTTCTCTGCCGGGAGGTCTGTAAATTGAAACGTGTGGAAAGCCAGCAGAGTAGATCCTTGTTATTTTGTAAACTGCTCCCTCAAGCATATGGAATTCTTGAAAGCAAACCAGCTAGAACTCACTTCTATCGAGGAACTGGTGGAATTTGATCTTACTTGCAACAACCAGGTGGCATTAGGCACTTTAGTCTTTAGATAGAGCACATTGGACACTGTTGACCAAGAAGCAGTTTTTTAAATATCTAGTGTTACCTCAAAATAGCGTGATACTGATAAACTGCTTTACATAGATTATGTGTAAATGGGGAATATAAATTAGAATAATGATGCCATCATTAGATCTATCTATTTGATTTCATATGCCATTTTAACGTCTTCAGAAACAGGTGTATGTTGTCTTATTCCTGTTACTACCTACAGAAAAAATGAAATGCCTGTTTTTCCTTTGACCTTGATTTCATTAGCATCAGTGCTCAGAGCTTTTTTTCTTCACAAAAACTGCACAGATGAGAAAAATTGGGCGGGGTTTTTTTTCTTTCTTTTGCAACTCTGGTTATATACACAGAAAATAATTTCCTTTTAGTTTTTAAAAGTCTTCCACCAATGTATCTTTTTCACCTGCTTTCTCAGTGTCTTGACCTCTGAGGTAATCTTATCATTAAATTTTTACCTGATACATGGTCAGACTCATACCATTTTGTTCTTATGTGCGAACTGTGATTTCACAATCTGCATTATGTCTCCAGGGAACATAGGCAGCTGTTGCTTTAATTGAGCCTAGGAAATAACTTTTAGTCTGAAATCACTGCTGACACTCAGTGGTCGCAACAGCAGCCATAGTGAAGTATTGTGGCAGCTGATTTTCACTGGAGGCAGAATCAAAGACAGAGGGATGTGAAAACTGGAGAAGAAAAGGTGGCTGGGGTGGCTGGGAGAGGATTAGCCTGGAGGATCAGTGTTCCACAGCAAAGTAACTCAGTATATACATAATGTAAAGGGATAGGGACATACTTGTTGATACGTGAGGATGGATTGAATATGGTGAAGGCCATCTCCAAAGATACAAAGTTGAGATAGAAATTCCAGCTTTTTGATGTTGATCTGAGCTACTGAGAACTTTGGAAACATTCTAGCTGTGGTTATCCATTGATAGGTTGCAGTATAGCACTAGTAGGGATTTCTACACCTGGCAAGCCAAAAAGTTCCTAAAATGGCAAATCACTGCAAGCTTTTCTGGGCCAAATCCATTCACTTCACCAAAATTACATTAAGTCCGTTAAGAACATACCTCTAAGTTTTGGAACAGTTTATGGGGAGTCTGTAAAAGGATCTTTGAGCCTCTTCCAGTTGTTCAAATCAAACTTTGTGACTCTTGGAAAGACAGTTGTTGTACCCCTTCCATTTCTCATGTATTTTGCAGTGATGAGTGCTGATATTGAGAAATATGCATAAATTCCCAATAAAACCCCAGTATTTGTGGCCTTTTTTCCAGTGATCCCACATTACCAAATGCTATACAATTAAAGATTGCTACTCATTATCACTGCCAAAGATTTCACTAAAGTATGTCGCAACCCTCACACCTTCCCCACAAACGTTATGTTGTAAATTAAACACTCAATGTCTACAGCAGCCTGGATTTCCAGAATGAGATACACATTCGTAAATGTGTTTGTAATTAAGAAAGACAAGCAACATCACAGAAATATGTTTTTTTATCGTTCATTTTCAGTAACGCTTTCTAATTCCAGCGATGTTTCAATAAAATATATTACACTAGAGAACGAACATCTGCAGCGAAGGAAAACAGTGGCAACAACCAAATCCCAAAGCATTTTTTCTGATTTGCTGTTTATTGGCAAGGGCTGTCTGAGAATACAGGCAAATTGGCCTATCTGCCCAGACAAGGTTACGTGAGAAATGGCTGTCCCACATCACTTCCTGTCCACGGCAGTCATTCCATACATCGGAATTGCACACAGTCACATGATAAAGTGTTATCATCTACATACAGGCTGAAACACCGTTATGTCTGCAAAACAGGAAGGTGTGTAGGGTAATGTCTGTCTTGCTGCACTACAGTGTGTCAAAACCACAAAGACAATGTGCAGCCTAAGATAGCTCCATCATAACCACTCTTTTCTTCTGATTTTCTTCACAGGCAGAGATAAATGAAAAGCTGCAAATGCAAGAAGAAGCTTATACTTTGAGAACGGAAAAATTCAAAAGTCCTAAATAGCCAGATAAGAGAGGTGATGTTGAATTTTACAGAAGCTGGGGAGTAGGGGGTAACACACACAGAAGACTGGCTCCCTGCCTGAATGTAATTGTTTATATAAAAGAAAATGGTTCTGTTAATATTTACCTAGAAATAGTTCGTCCCTGTTCCTCAAAGTTACTGTGTTCTGCCAGTGTTGTTATTTAGTTTAGACTTAAGTAGAAGATTATAAACAGAGGCATATGTAATTAAAGCATGTTGAAGTTCAGTTTTTTTCTGAATAGAAGTCCTAATTTTTTTTTTAAAAAAAAAAAAAAAAAAAAAAGAAATTGCTGTAGTTTTGTTCTCTTTCCTTTTTCCAGTTGTGAAATATTTAACAGTTTCTGCTTTACACCATATTTTTTTTCTCCAGGAAATTTTGCTAGAGGGAGATATACATAGAGAGAAAACGTCATTTTGAGGCACTGCAGATAGAATAAGGAGAGAATTTAATTAACATGTAATTACACAATTTTCACTGTAGTTATTCATTAATAATGTGTATTTTATTTCAGATTAAATTACTTCCTAAGCTTTAAAACAAACATAATTTCTTACACTTCTCTATTTCCACTATATTAAAAACACATAAATGAAGAATTTGCACTTTTACAGTGCTCCCCAGAAGAGTTCTTTTTTATTTCAGAGGAAATCTTTCTGGAATGGGTGCCGCCTTGCACCGGAGAGCATTTCCATACCTTGTCAGACATTATAAAAAAGTTCCAAACTCAAAAGGAATCTGACCAACCAAGTGACAAGTAAGTCAGAAGAACCGGTTTAACACCCACGTTTTAAAATCGCAGCCCACATTGATCGCTGCATTACAGAGCTCCCCACCCTAGAGAGCGCGTTGGGCGCAGCCCTGCCTCCAGCGTAAGGGCTGTGCTCTGTGCAGCGTTCCAGAAAGAGAATGTTTTGTTCATTACAACTTCGAGCTTGTTTCCCAGAGTAAAAACTTGTGGTTGTTCCATTTCATCCCCGTTTTGACGGCGGTAACAAGAG